GTTACAAAGCATACTTTCAACTTAGTAATGGATTTTAGAATACATTATAAAATTAGAAAATAATGTTGAACTCCTGAGTTCTTCAACAAAGATAGAACCATAGATAAGTATACTTTGTAAAAGCAAGAAAGTCCATTTAAGTCAGTAATAGCAGTGCAGTAACGGATGGCTACATCTTGAAAGAAGTTAAAACACAGAGACATGGACAGTAGTTCAATGCACGCATTCATGATACTCATACACTCATCAACAATTATTGGTCAGAGTAGTAAATCAGTGTACAAATTAAACATTTCCCAAAATGTGCAAAAAAGTCAATCTTAATAGGAAAAAAACCCTTTGTACATAATTATAAACAGCCCAGCATTCAACTGAGATTAAAAACGTTTACAGAGAGAAACCAATAGGTTAAATATAGAGAATTTAATGGCTACATTTAAAAACATACATTAAGTCAAAGGGTAAATTTACAAATTGATAATCATAGTTTGCAACAATTAAAAGTTTATTCTCAAATTTATTCAAGTTTACTTTATTTACAATGAATAAAAAGAATCGTGAAATGTCAGAGATGTCAGACATTAAAAGTATTTTTGGTATTAACTTTTATAATATTTCAGAATGTAGGGTAGAAAATTTTAAAACCAATAGCAATAGAAAAAATGTAAACCTTTCACTTACTAATTAAGATTGCATTAAAACAATTGTTTGTTTTTAAAGAAGTATTCTTATCCTTAGACACTGTACTTTCAATTGAATAAAGTATATTGCAAGGGTTTGGCCCACTTCCTTTTGCCCGTAAGCCTTTCCAGCTCAGAGGTTCCCACTAGTCCTCTCTTCTTATTCCAAGTGGAAAACAATCTTTGGAATAATAAGAATATGTCAAATCCATTTTGTAGTCTAAGTACCTAATAGAGTTTAAGATGTAATTTTGTTACTTCTCTCTCCCCTCCGAGTAATGCTAATGCTAAAATCGTCATTAGTTACATATGCTTTTAAAAAATAAATTCTAAAAAAATATAAATAATTGAACACAAAAGTGCTTTTCAGTACAGTCATGAACTTTACTGTTCTCAACTGGCATTAAGGGATTCAAAAATCCTTATTTGGAGACAAATCCTGCACATATACTGGAGAGCAGACACTTTCCTATGTTCCAAAATGTCTATGGCACAAAGCAGAGGTCAGTCTGTAACCTACTTTTCTTCACAGCTTTGCTTAAATGCCCCTCAAGTCAAACATAAGTTCATAAATGTTAAGACACTAGGAAGAAAAGTACGCCACCAACCTGAGGCATCAGGTATATCTCTATCAATGTGTATCTATGTGCACCTATGGTCAAGTGACGTTAATAAGATTGGCACGTGTACAAGCTTAAGTTTGTAATGTCTATATAGTTCTTTAATAGTAGAAGTAAATTCTGCATGTCTAAATGCAAACACTGAGCACCTGTCCTTTTCCTTGAAGGATAGACTGGCATATAAATTCTACTAGTACCTGCTTTATCATTTTTATACTATTAGCTTACAAGTGGGTAGAAGTAACAGTGCTAATAATTTTAGCTATGAGTGCAGGGAATATAAAAGCTTTGGTTTAAAGTGATTCTGATAATACAGAGTGTATTACAAACAAGAAGTCATTAGGCAGAGGGGATAATACTACTCACTAATTTAATGCCTTTGCTGTTATTAACAAAAATACCACATGACTGTCAATTAAAATGCACAATTATGAAAAATATGAAGAATTATGTAAGAGACTGTGTATAAGCAACAGATAAAATTTATTCTTTTCTTACTGTAGCTTAGACTTTCTGAAGCTCAGCCTTTACCGCTTGCACTAGCTCTGAGAAAAGAATCTCTAGGTTCCCCTGAGAGCTCATTACCATCTGCAGCTCTGAAAGGTGAGTATGGGAAACGGGGGTGCCTGATACTTCCCACACCTGTCTATCATGGTATCCCATCCAGACCATGGCAGAAGTCAAAGCCAAGCTAAAGACGACTAGGAAGTAGGAGCAGTGGCTTCACGGCACACCTTCCCTAGCCAACCAAAAAGAGGTATAAGAAAATTTCTTTTTGAATACTTGGTAAACTAAGGAAGCTTGTTTTGATAATGTCTGGCAGAATTTCTGTTTCGAAGAGTTCATGAAGAACTGTGTAAAATCAACTATTTCCTATTTAGGAATTATATATAAGCTTATTATTATACACACACACAAACTGAATTTTAATCTACTTTTAGCAACCAAGAGCATGGCAATTTACAGTAAATACTTTTATTAAACAATCATTAGTACTAGCTACTCGTGGAAAATGTACTGGAATTCCTACCAAGGATGATTACAACTATCCATCATCAGAAGGTCATACGTTTTTGAGTTGTTCTTCCAAAAACAGAGACTGATCTAACTGGACACTCATACCTTTCCCTCCTTCTTTCCTACCCCTGCTCCAATTTTAAACACCACACACAAACACACACACAAACACACACTTTACAGAAAAGTAAGCTAGCATATTAGTCAAAACATTAGCTGAAAAGTTAGGATTAGAATTCGCTATCCCTGGATGTCTTGCTTGTTGCTCTAAGCCTCACTGCCTCAACATTTGTAAACTATTCGAACGACTTCTTTAGGGCAAAAACCACCACTCTAACTCTGCTGTGAAAATCACAACTGAACTATGATATATAAAGAACTTGGACAGTGCCAACGTTGATTGAAAATCAACCTGGAAAACAATTTACTATGTCTCTTCAGAATGAGAATACCTCTTTCTATGTTAGGAATTCACATCTAGTGGAGACTGCAGTGCATCTATCACAGACAAATGCTAAAGTTTCTCTCCTAATGTTACAAAACAATAAATAAATAAAAAAGGAGGTAGAAAAGGGTAGGAGGAGGAAGCAGGCATTAAGAAACGTTTTAAGGGCCAATACACAGCCTAAGGCCAAATGAAGTCATAAAGCCTACTGATTTTGGAAAAAAATCTTCTTCATTTTGAAAAAAATCTTCATTTTGATGGGTAACAAATTATTATTAATATAAAATAAAATTAAGGCATACAGAGAAAAAGGCACTACTAAAAATTAACAATTGGATTGCTTTTCATTAACATTTAACTAATCTTCAAATAAATATGAACATTACATTTGTAACAAAGGCCAAACCTAAAACAATATGGTTGAAAAGAAATTGTCCTGATGTTAGCATAAATAACACTGTTGACAGAGTTTAGTTTCTATCAAATGTTTTGGGTATTTTCACAATTTAGACCAAAAGAAAACATTTTTTTTTCTTTAAAAGAGACCTCTGGGGGAAAATGCTGTCATGGAATAAATGTTCCCCATCACTGGACTGTTTGAGCAGAGGCTGGTTTACAGTGAGGGGGTCCTGAGAGAGGCTGCGTGACTGGGCGAGGGGGAGTCCCCCAATTTGAGGACACCTTTACTCTATTCCTGGTTGTTAATGACATTTCAGTTTTAACAGCCAATAACTACCCAAAATTGTTTTTCCCTTACTTCATAAAGAATAATCATAACATTTTAAAACATCATTGCTGAACTTTCAGAGTTAGGGTATGCCATAAAGTAACTATCAGTTTGCCCATATTCCTCCTAGACTGTCACCTCCTCAAGGGTGTTAATTTAGTACCTGATAAAATAAGTCACGATTATTGAATAAGCAAATGAAAAAGATTCACTTGATTTATGAAAAGGATAGATTTGTACACTTGATTGACAACGGGTGATTTTTTGATCAAGCTATGGGTTCCTAGACCCCAAATGAAATCATTGGCACAGAGCTTTGCCATGGACCAAGGAATCTCCATCTGGCTTGGTTATCCTGCTAAACCAATTCAGATTTGACTTTTTTTTTTTTTCAAATTTGACTTTACTTTCTTTGTAATTTCACTTATCTTCTAACAACTCCATCTCAAAAACACTAGAGAGAAAATCTATGACATATATAAGAGCTGGAGCAGCAGAAAGCTAAAGAAATAGTTTCACCTTTTTACTGTAGTTTCTATGGGGAATAAGATAAAGACTCCCTCAAGTGAAAGCCAATTCAACTTACTCTGAAATCGAAGTTTTAACTTTTCTTTCATAGTTCAGCAAGTGTATTAACATTTCAATTTCTTATATGCATTATGTAAGGGTTACTGTGCCTTTTGAAACTCTGTAAGGCAATAGTCATTTTTTTAAGTTAGAAAGATGCTGTGTAAACAAGTGCTGAAAATTTTCAAGATAGTCATACTGAAATTTTCAGTCTGTATACTTTTAAATACATTTTAAAGAATTACCAATCAATCGAAATTTCTATTAGTCATTATGATATTTCTCAACCCTTTTATTTCATACATTTTGTTTGCAATGTAAAAGATCTTATATTTGGTCCAAGCCTAAGTCATGCCAGTTTGAATCTCTCAAGGCCTAAGTAGAAAGATATTTCCTGAAAAGCACATATAAGACTGCTAGTGTATCTTCTCCAGCACCAAAAAGTCTGCCACTGTCAAAGCAGAATGCATTTTAAAGGCACAAAGTCAGCAGTCTAGCCATTTTCAGCCTCAGCAAAGAAACATTACAGTATAGAAGAATCAATTGTGCATTTAAGAAACAAAATACATTTAGAGTAATCCTAAAAAGTTCAAATTTCATTTGTTGATCCATACCATTATTTGAAAGAAGAAAAAAATGGAGTGTTATATTTAACTTTCCCTGATAGAGGTGTTTCCTTTCAAAACTTTCTTTTTTTAAATTTACTTTTGGTCTTCCATACCCGCACCCCCACCACCTTCAAGCTTTTTCTAGTAGTTTTTACATATATTAACTTTTATTGTGGTTTTTGGTACCTTCACAACTTGTCTGAAATAAATTCACATCATATTTTATATAATAACTCTGTAAACTGTTAGTCTATTTTTAAGTCTTTACATAAAGAACATTACTTTCTCATAGTTAATAATATTTTTCTTATAAAGCAAAGGCCTTCTGCAGCAGTGTTAAAGTAGTAGTTTCTTTTCAGGTGCCTTTATTTTCTATAGCATTTAGAAAAGAAAAAGGAGACTGAAAAAAGCAGACAGTTTTGCTTTTGGGTTCCACAGTCTCCCCCAATTTCTCTACAGAGCATTTGTGTCATATTCTGCACTGCTGGTTACCCTGACAGACCAAAAATGAGCCAAAGGGAAATCACAACCACACAAGACAAAGATATGAAGAAAAAGCCCACTGGTCCAGAGACCATGATCTTGCTCAAGTAGAAAAGATGCCCTCACTCATAAAAGATAAAGAAATTATAATAGATCCACACACTTGAGGATTATGTTTCTAGCATAAGATTTGGCAGTTAGTTGATTTACCAAAGTGGGGGCAGCTAATTCATGCTCTTCTTTGCAAGCTGCTTCATTTGATTTGAAGATACAGGAGAAGCACTGACAACAAATTTTGTGCTTTGACTTCTTCTCAGACAAGCTAGTGGAATTTCAAATATTCCTACAGGGAATGCCAGGTAAGACCTTGATACAGTAAACCAAGATCTACCTAACTTCAGAAACAAAGTATAAAGAGTCCCTAAATGAGTGTACCTTTTGGCAGAAAATAAGAATATCTGAGTCCCCTTAGAATCCCATGAAAGGCATCACATTTAGGGCCTCCAAGAAGACTATTATTTTCTAGATCTTTAAAAATAAAGTACCTAGCACTTGCTTTAATATGCTGAAAAAATTGCAAGTGGCCAAATTACTATCTTCATGTTTTTCAGTAGTACAATTCCATTAGAGATAGTGGGACCTTTCCCGGCTGTCTTGTTCCATTTAATGTCCTTGCTCTTAGTGGATACATTATACTAGAAATACCTGGCAGTTTCTGAACCTTTCTGTTAGTAGTTAATACTTTGTTTTGACATGCTTTTCTTTGCCCAAAATTATGAACTGACCTTTAAGGAAAGACTATATACAGATGGCTGAGTTCAAAAGGCTCAATGTTCTAATTCATTTTGTTTCTAAAATGGAAGAGTTACTGATTTGGGTGCAATATGAAGCTGGTAAGGAAGTGATTCCTGTTTGCTGTTTGCTGAGGTCATTCACCCTTGACTTAAAGTAGTGATATCTGCTCTTGTAAAACTCTCATTTTGCATGTATCACTTTCTCTTTGAAATTTACTTTTTTGCATTTACTGCTTTGTAAATTTCTGTTTTCAGTTTATAACTGGGACTGGTCTTTACATCAGTTAAAGACCTCAGCACTTTTGATATTTAGGGCAGAATAATTCCGGGGGGGGGAGGGGAGTGCTTTCCTGTGTAGTCTATTTAGCAGCATCCCTGGCCTCTACCCATTAGATGCCAGTAGTATCCTCCCAGTTGTGACAACCAAAAACATTTCCAGGTATTGCCAAATGCCAAGTGAAATTATCCTTGCTCCACTGTTAAAAACCACTGTTTTACATGATATCTGTTTTTCTGAGGTGTTTTAGTATTCTGTGATCCCAAGTACAAGGGTTTCATCTCATGACACTCACTGGCTTTAACACATAGATACTCCTGGCTGAACTCTTAGTTCCTAAGGAATATTAATTATGGGGAATTAGGAGCTAAAAATAGGAAGAAAGTATCCATGATTTTGATTATTTCTCCATTCCTTCAATTTTGGGACTTTCCCCCCTCATAGTTTAAAATATACAAAAAAAAATTAGTTTTTTTTCCATTATTTCTGTTGACTAGCAAATGTGGTCTCCTCTACTGCTCACACATTTAATGAGAAGACTATCCTTTAATCTTTTACTTGAATTTGCTCATTGACTTTAAAATAAAATAGTATTTTTTTAAGCAGAAAGCTATCCCTCAAGGTTTATAGATTCCAGTAACATGGATCTATTATAGTGTTTGCTTATTATACTGGTTAGGATTAACAAACATACCTCTTAGAGATTCATTCTATCAAGATTCCTACTGAGCAAAAAGCTTGGTAGACAGAGGTTAGGATCTAAAGAATACAGATATAAGAAGGAACCTATATTCTTTAAGTTGAGTACCTACCCTAAACTCAAGTTTAGGGCTCAATCCCACAAATGAGGATCTATTTTAAATACTAGCACTAAAAACTACAAATTATACATCATTTTCTTCTTATTTTCCAGGTCTCCCCATCACCACCAATATGTCAGTGATACAGGGAAAGATTCTACAATCTTTAGGTATTCCAAATGATTTGTTTGTACTAAAAAGACTATGTACTAAAGTGCTTTATCTCTCTGAACCACATCAGTACATTATAAAAATTAAAAAAAAAAAGTTTCAAGTTCTTGTAAGGGAAAAAAAGATTAAATATAAAAAATTTAGGTTACTATTATTATTAAACAAATTTAACCAAGCATCAAGAGAAATACTTTCCCTCTTGTCTTTTTTTTCTCCCCCATCTCTCTTTTTTTATAAAAAAGAAAAGTGCAGTCAGAGAGAAGGTGAATGAATAGATGGGAACTGGGTAGAGGCACAGGAGAGGTTACTGGCTGCTAGTGATAATGCACAAACACGTGCCTTAAGAGTTCATCAGCGGAAGGTCTCAGTTTGGCCTCTACGAAAATCCGTTTGAGGAAATCTCGAGTATAGTCTGAGACATGAGGTGGCAGCTTTGGGTTTGTTGGCTGAGTGGCGATTTTAAAGATGGCAGCCATTGCTTCAAACTCGGCCCAAGGTGGCTTTTCAGTTAGCATTTCTACCACAGTACACGCTACGCTCCTAAAAAGAAGTACAACACAAACAATATCACCATAAAAGAAAGCTAGTTAGCTAGAAAATGAGAAACAGGAGTGTTTAAATATGACTTGATTTCAAGTTTAAAGTTTCATTGAAAAGTTGTAATTACATAAAACTGTAATTAAAATATAAAAATCAATGAAAATAAACCATAATTTAATGACTGTCACTTAAATGGTTAGGCAAAGAACATTATTCATTTTATTACTTATGTTTTACATAATTATTCATTTTATTGTTTTTGTTTTGTAACCGGACATTAAAAATAATTTTTGTCTTTATCTTACAAAGAATATAAGCAATAGAAATTTTTGCCATCAGGTATCTAAAATGAATGTCTATTAAAATCTTTTCTAAGTGGGAAGTAGATAATGGCCATTTTATGTTCTAACTTAAAATTATTAAGCAATTAAAGATTAACTGAATTATAAAGCACTGACAAAGATTACTTTTAAAGTTCTTTAGGGAAGTAAGATAGCTTTTTAATGCTATGGTTTGCTTAGGACCTAGAGAATGGAAGATAGGTTTGAGGACTCTAAATATTTACTCAATTATAAGTCTCAATGAGGCATAATTAAAATGGTGTTAATTCCTGCAGTTCTTACATCCTATTTTAGAAGTACAAAAGACAATTTAAATCTGGCTTGGTAATTTCAATCCTGGATGGAAATACATAAGAAGGCAGGTAGTCTTCGGGCAAACCTAACATCAAAACTTACCAGATATCTGCTTTTCTGCCATATCCTTCTCCACTGATCACTTCAGGGCTCATCCAGTATGGTGTGCCTGTGACGGACTTCATTCCTGTCCCCGACAGACAGATGGTCTGAAGTCGTTTGCTGGCCCCAAAATCTCCCAGTTTGACATTTCCTGTTGAATCTCGCAGGATATTGGCACCTAAAAACGATAGCCTAATTTCATTAATTTTATTGGCACTCTGGAATATAGTATAAAAGAACAGCAGCAGAGAATGACTTAGTAGACTCTTCAATCTATCCCCTAAATTAGGCTGCTTTTCATCCTCCAAGCAGTACCTGGCATAACATCAGTCTCACAGTGGGTGCTCATAAGGATATGCCACATGAACACTGAACTTTTAGTCAGCTGTGTTTGCTTCACATCCTAAGAAGGTTCTGCCACTGAAAAGGACTGGTACAGGTTGGAGGTGAGGGTGAACAAGAGGAGAAAGAGGGAAAGGGCTAAGAACAAAGCTCAGTGAAGCACTAAGAAAGCAAGAGCAGGCTCTTGGCCCCCAGTTCTCTGTCAAAGCAAGAAGCCCATGGCTGAAGCTGGCTTCTCAGGGGCTTCCTGGGGGACCTTCACAATCAGAAACGTCCAGCATTCCCCCCACCGTCACTTAAATATTAGTTACCTTATATTTTAAAGTTTTTGTTAATATTGTTTTGCTTTATATTAATTTTACTTCTCAATTTCTAGTATTTTAAATGTCTTATAAGCAAATTTTGAGCTTATCATCTGTTTTAAAATTTTTTACTTTTAAAATAAACTTTTAAATATAGACAGCTTCAGATTTATAGAATAATTGCAAAGACAGTACAGAGAGTTCCCACATACTCCCACACCCAGTCTCCACATTATTAAGATCTTAAAATAGTACGGTACATTTGTCACAGTCAGTGAACCAACATTAATCCATCATCATTAACTAAGGTCCATACTTTATGCAGATTTCCTCAGTTTTTCCCTAATGTCCCTTTTCTATTCCATGATCCCACACTGCATTTAGTCATCATGTCTCCTTAGGATCCTCTTAGGTATGACACTTTCTCAGACTTTCCTTGTTTTTAATGACTTTGACATTTCTGAGGAGTACTGGGGTTGGGATTTTATAGAATATCCCTCAATTAGGATTTGTCTCATGTTTTTTTCATGATCAGACTGGGGTTGTAAGTTTTGGGGAGGAAGGCCAGAAGTGCCATTCTCATCACCTGATATTAAGGGCACAGACTGTCAACATCACTGTTGATGTTACTCTGATCACCTGGCTTGAGGTAGTGTTCATCAGGTTTTCACTGTAAAGTCAGTCTCCCGCCTTGGCCCCGCTTCCCATACTGTATTCTCTGGAAGAAATTCACCACGCACACCCCACAATTAAGGAGTATAGAGTTACGCTCCAGGCTGAGTAGATACGTAAATTACTTGAAATTATTCTGTAGGAGAGATTTGGGTCCCTCTTCCCCTTTAGTTATTAAATCATTCATTTATATCACTACAGACCCATGTTTATTTTACACTTTGGGTTATAATCCAGTACTCTTTATTTTGCTATTCAAACTGTATCCGCTTTGGCCATGAGGAGCTCTCTCCACTGGCTCCTAAGTCCCTTTGCCATACCCCATCATTGTGTTGTTTTTGCTTTTTGGGGTGTTTCTGAACACTTTCTTACTTTCTGGCACCAGAAGACACTCCAGGCTCATCTTGTATGTTTTCTGCACCAGTCCCGGAATCAGCTATTTCCCTTTTAGTGGAGAAGGGTATCAAAAACCAAGATCCAAGATCTGCGCACCAGGCTCATTTGGTTTTTATTCTCTATTTTCCCCTGTCTTTTTGGGAGCATTGTAAGTCTAGTTTCTGCCTTTTATAAATTATTTCTCTTCTCATTTTTAACTTTTCCTATAAACTATCTATTCTAAAATAAGCCAATAATTTTATTACCTAATTTTAATTTTTAAATTTTACTTCAATTCTTATTTTTAAGTCCTCCATAACCTAACCATATTTTACATTAAAAAAGATTCTTTCCTTCTCTGTTAGTATCTCTAATAAAAAATATATACATATTTTTTGTCCTCTTACCATTTTTTAAAAAAATGATCTCTAAGAACAGTGAAGAAAATCTACATTATAGACTAGAGAGAACATAGACTCTCCACCCCTATCATGAGCTTTTGTACTTGTCTTTCTGTTTTCCCAGAAAATTCCCGAGCCTAGTCAATGATGTTTCTCTAAAGCTTCTATCCAGGCGCAAGTCCAGGACCCATTCTCTGCACACCTTAAGCCTAAATTTGCCACAGTACTAGTGATTCTCTAAAATAGCACTGCTTATTTAACATCTCTACTGTCTAACACTTACAGGAGGACTGTCAAAAAAGCCATTGTCTCTAAAATATTTAACCAGTGGAAGGACAACAAACAAGCCAGTTTTTACTCATAACAGAGATACGAGCAGGGAAGAACAATCCCAGGAGGTCACGGATAGGGAGAGAGGAATCACCAGTGCTGAACCAATGCTGGAGGCTTGATCAGATTCAGGTTCCATTTTGGGGGGTTGACGTGTAGAACAGAACTGATTTTAGTGATGTCAGCAGCTATTAATGTTTAGTGCCTTTATCTATTAGTTCATTATTCCTTCTTCACGTGTTAGCTAAAATACTTCTATAAAGATAATTTTCTTTTCATCCACTATTTGGTCTTCTGTGGTATAGTTTGTTTAAAAAAAAAAAAAGTCAGAATAAAGAAACTAGCTTTTGAAATGAGCTGGGTCCCCAGCAATAATGATCTATTCATTTTCATCTTAAGTTTCATTAAACTCATGGGTTTAAATTTAAAACCAATCAACTATCTTCCCTTTCTCTTACCATTTAAAAGTTGCTCATAAAAATTTGGGAAATACAGAAACAGTCAAAGTCTGCACAAGAAAACAATTATCACTCATCCTGTCATTTGGTGATGAGCACTGTTAATCATATGGAAACTTTCCTTCCAGGTCGTACCTCATTTTTACAAACTTGAGATTATATTGCACATCCAATTTTTTATCTTACGTTTTTCCCTTATCAATATATTTGCCCTATAATGTTTTAAGATCAGCTTGCTTCCACCCTCCCCATTCGACCAGGATGGTTCATCACTCTTTCTGGCAAGGTTAGAAGATCCAAAAAGGGGGTAGCTCCCTCAGCTCCACTGCCTTGCCTCATTTTTGTGGCTAAGGAGAAGCTGGCTTAAACAGAGATTATTCCTAATAGAATAATTTCTCTAGGAGGTTCTTTTTTTGAGACAGAGTCTCACTCTGTTGCCCTGGCTAGAGTGAGTGCCGTAGCGTCAGCCTAGCTCACAGCAACCTCACATTTCTGGGCTCAAGCGATCCTTCTGCCTCAGCCTCCCGAGTAGCTGGGACTACACGCATGTGCCACCATGCCCGGCTAATTTTTTCTATATATTTTTAGTTGTCCAGATAATTTCTATTTTTTTTTTTTGGTAGAGACGGGGTCTCGTTCTTGCTCAGGCTGGTCTCGAACTCCTGAGCTCAAACGGTCCACCCGCCTCAGCCTCCCAAAGTGCCAGGATTATAGGCGTGAGCCTCCACGCCCGGCCTCTAGGAGGTTCTTTAAGCTATCGGGTTTTGTACTTAACAACTGAGGTCTGCCTAAGGTAGGCAGATCATGAACCATGTTCCCATCCTTTCGGACTCCCCATTCTAGTATATGTGATATGGCTCAGGCATTCTGCAGATTCTACTCTGTCACCGGGAACTGGTTAGGAATGTTCTCCTTAGCCTGAATAAGGCCTCAGTCAGGATGTGCCACACCACAGGAATGAAGCAAAAGCCTGGGAGCTCACAGGCGCCCACAGCAAGACTCTATGAATAATATGTTCATACACACACTCTCTCTCTCTCACAGTTATATGTTGCTAAATGACTGGGATATGTTCTGAAAAATGCGTCATCGGGTGTCTATGACAGACATCATACAGGGCACTAACCGCCTATACATCTAGGCTATATGGCATACTCATCGTTGCATAGGTGGTCCACCACTGACTAAAATGTCGTTATGTATCACATGACTGTATATCTATCTATTCTTTTTCTTGATTGATTGACAGAGTGGTTTTTAAACTTGGAGTCACAACTCAGTTTTTTACAGACTCAAGCCCCCAGGTACGCTTTACAGTAAGCATACAGTGTTAGGCACTCTCAAATTTCACTCCTCCCCACCACTCGCTTTGCTGTCATTTCTTGCATTCACTTACATACTTGATCCCTGAAAACAGATGCATTTTTGAGTTTTAAAAAGTGAGTTTAACTGAGTTGGAGTTCATCAAAGCTCAGTTTTGGGCCTTTGCTTCCCTCCTTTTTATTCTTTCCCTAGGTAATGAAATCCATTCCCATGAATTTACGTAAGACCTCAAAATAAAGTACGTGGTCACTGTAGCTAACTTTTGAATGCTTTCTAAGTATCAGGAAGTGTTTTAAGCATATTACATGCATTAACTCATTTAATTCTTACGAGAATCCTATGAGCTGGATACTGTTATCTCCCTATTCAAGAATGAGGAACTGAGGCACAGAGAGATTAAGTAACTTGTCAAGGCCACGCAGTTCACAACCAATAAGGCCTGAATTTGAATCAGACCATCCAGTAGCAGAGCCCCTACTCTTAACTAGTCTATTCTAATGCCCATGCAATATGTATGAAAACATGGGCTTACATGTATGATCTCTTAAACTTTATTGATTCTGTGAAGCCCCACAGTGGAGCTATCCATTTGTGGAGACCTGAACATCAGAACTGGTCTCATGGAACATTGACAGAGTCCATGAGAAAGCAAGAGAACTGTTTCCCTGTGCTATTTTAAAGGTAGATGTATTAATTTACATGTTAAATATTTTAACCATATCATTTGTTTCATTGACATTCACAAAGAACTGTGTACTTAAAACAAAAAATACCTCATTACTTACCTTTGATGTCTCTATGGACAATCATATTACTGTGCAAATAATGGACACCCTCCAAAATCTGACGGGTGTATTTTCTAGTCACATTCTCAGTAAGAGCTCCATATGCTTTTAATTGGTCCTTAATTGAACCCTAAGATAAAAGAGAACAACAAAAGAACTTGTTTTATGGTTTGAAATGAAAACCACTATTAAAGCTTTATTTTTGAGAGTCTTCATCATGACTAGGAGGTTATATAGTTGGAGAAGGCAGGGATTCTCAGTAAAATCATACTATGCCATGCAATTAAACATAAAAGTCACCTGTATTTCCTAAACTGTATTTCCAAGAACTGTGGAAGAGTATGGATTACAGCTGAAGGAAGCCTTTAAAAACTATGTTTTGACTGATATTCTTGTTTATATTACTATGTTGGTTCTAACTATCTCATATCCTATTCTTTGCAATCCTGTTTTTAAAAATTCTTCAGTACTTTTATCTGGCTTTTTTTGCCCTGAATATATTTTTGTTTTTCCTACTCGCTCATATAAGCATGTCATATTTGAATTTTATTTTGTTCTTATTCTGTTTTGAAATAGTGTTTTATTGACATCTGATTTCTCAAGAGAAAAAATGAGTATGATTAGACAATTAGAACACATGAGATTTTTAAGTTTTTCCTTTATATACTCAACACTCTAGTTCAAAACATGAGAAAATAAAGAGGAATTTCAAATTTTCTTAAGTGTTTTTTAGGGCAGGATGAGGTGCCATTTCTGAGGATTCTGAATCAGTCTGAGGTGAGGCACAGGCACTTCAATTCTGAAAAAGCTTCCCTAATGATTCCAATGTGCAAATTCATTAATAATCACCCACTTTAAAAGACAGAAATAAAATGCTTCCTGAGGGACAAATAATTTTTTCAACAAGAAAATATATCCGAATGTTTTTGCCTTTCCTTGAATTTTGGTAAACTATGTACTCTTGTCATATGAACGCAGATCCTAGGATTTTACAGATTTAACCATTTGTCATCTCTGCTATTCATAAGCCATCCCTGGAGGGAGAGCAGTTTGCAATTCTATAGACCCAAACTTGCAAACACACACGTGGAAAGCCTTAGGCATCAAGTGTGCCCAGCAACCACTCACAACCATAATTCAGCATGGCCTTTTGTTCACAGTCTCCTTACCGTGTCTCTACTTGCAGTAATACACAGAATAACCCTGCTAGAACTGAACTTTCCAAGTGAAAGGCCAAAAAAATACTTGTAGGCTGCAAATGGAGGATGGAGTTACGGATCCTCTGGGCAGCTGTGTCAGTGGCCTATGGCTGCTAATAGCTCCCTCAGTGTAGTCAGTTTACCTGTGTGTACTATAAAAATGTTAACTTCTTCACTGCAAACAACTGAAACAAGTTGAGAAGCACTGTCAGCTAAAAATGGGGTGTGTGGGGGGGTGTGGAGAGGGATAGAGAGAGAAAGAGAGGAAGAGAGAAAGGCAGAGAGAAAGAATAACAGAGAAGCCAGTCCAGGCACTGAAAATAAAAGAAAGTTACGGTTCCAAGTCTGAAAGTAGTTCTAGATAAACTAAGGAATGGAATGCTAAATTTGGGAAAATTGAAAAATGAAATAACAATTTTGACAGGGCTTGAGTCTAGTGCACAAAGGGGCCCATCCCACTAAATTTAAGGAGAGAAATTACATAGTATCATTCATAAACTGGGGATTCAGCAAAGTCTAGAAACATATGTATGTCCAGCAACTGCCATGGGCTCACCGTATGTTGTATAATTCATTTAGATTTTCAGTGAGCTATTATTAATTTAATAACATACTTTTCAAATTCAAGGAATGACAACCCAAGCTTTGGAGGAGATAACTGTCCTTATAAACCAAGTGTAGCTAATGAGAAACATAATCTGCCACCTATTCCTGAATAGTTCTGATTTAGTCTTTTTTTTTTTTTTTT